TGGCTTAAAATAAATGTATTTCCTTTTATTTTTCCTTATATCATCAATATTTTTGGCTTGCTATTTATTATTTGTTTTCCTTACTTGCCATAAGGAAATCAAATATAGTGTGATAAGCACATATTTAGATATGGATGAATGGAGATTTGTCAAATGTATATAGCTCTTTTCACTTCTTCCTTTCAGTAGTTAATAGCTTTCCCCAATCACAAACCTTCCAGATTACTTTAAATTACAATTCCCATAACTTCTATCCAATATGAGGAATTCTGTAAATTGTAGTCTAAAGTTATCTGTAAAGCCTCCAAGCTGGGTAACTCAGATCCCAATTTTGATTTGTCATCCAAAATTAGGCCTAATATTATGGTACTGACGGAAGTCTACCTCACGTCAGGGGTTATCTAACAAAACATGTAATAATACTCTTATATTTTTTTTCCATCTCAGTTATTTTAGGATGGTTCCTTGGAGCTGTTTGTGTCAGGTGTTGGCTTAGGTTATTTTTAATGTTGATGACTGAATCACCCTTGGTATGTAAGCCTGCATTCCTGCTGCATGACAAGTTCCAGACTCGGCACAAGTCATTTCTGTGAATATGATTTGGTCTCTTTTACACTGATTGTTTCTCCCAAGTTCTTTTTTTAGAGCTATGTCCACCTGTGGAGGAAACTGGAAAAAGGTGGGAAATAACTTTCTTCTTATGCAGGTAGTCCTCATCTTACAACAGTTCATGTAGTGACCAAAGTTACAACGGCACTGAAGAAAGGGACTTAATGACTGTTTTTCACGATTATGACTTTGCAGCATTCCTCCGTGGCCACATGATCAATATTCAGACGCTTGGCCACTGACTCATATTCATGACAGTTGTAGTGTCCCCAGGGGTCATGTGATCCTTTTTTGCAACCTTCTGACAAGCAAAGTCAATGAGAAAGCCAGATTCACTTAACAACCACGTTACTAATTTAACAACTGAAGTTATTCACTTAACAACTGTGGCAAGAAAGGTGGTAAAATGAGCAGAACTCACTTAGCAAATGTTTCACTTAGCAACAGAAATGTTGGGCTAAATTGTGGTCGTAAATCGAGGGTTATCTGTATCTAGTTGCCATTGTTTATTCCATAGGTACAATAGTCCTTGTTTGTTTAGTGACTGTTCAAATAAATGGCACTGAAAAAAGTGACCTATGACCAGTTTTCAGTTACCATTGTAGCATCTTCATGGTCACATGATCAAAATTTAGTGCTCTTAGCAACTGGCATGTATTTGACATTTGTACTGAGGTCATTGTACCCTTCCCAGAAAACTTTCAACAAGCAAAGTCAATAGGGAAAGCCAGATTTGCTTAACAACTGCATGATTCACATAACAACTGTAGTGATTCACTTAACAACTGTGGCAAAAAAAGTCATAAAATGGGGTAAAACTCAGTTAAAAACTGCCTTGTTTGGCAATGGATATTTTGGGCTAAATTGTAGTCGTAAGTAGAGGACTATCTCATACAGGTAGTTCTCGAATTACGACCACAATTGAGCCTAACATTTATGTTGCTAAGTAAGACATTTGTTAAGCAAGTTTGCTCCATTTTACGGCTTTTCTTGCCAGTTAAGTGAATCATTGCATTTGTTAAGTTAGTCACACGGTTGTTATGTGAATCTGGCTTTCCCATTCTTTGTTTACCAGTAGGCCGCAAAAAACTGATCACAGGATACAGCAACCGTCATAAATATGCCAAGCATCTGAATTTTGATCATGTGGTCATAGGGATGCTGTAATGGCCATGTGAAAAATGGTCATAAGTCACTTTTTTTTCAGTACTGTTGTAACTTTGATCACTAAATGAATTGTAAGTTGAGGACTACCTGTATGTCTTCTTCCCATCAATTTACACTAGGGTAGGGGTGTCTAACTTGTGGCCCACAAGCCAGATGCGTCACAAGCTGGCCACACCCACCCCCGTTTTAGCGAAGGGGAAAAAAGTTACAATATGTGTGACATTGCCGACATGACGTCCTAAGTTTGACAGTCCTGTTCTAGGGGCAGTTCATAAGTAGAGTCAATATACAAGCTGATCAAAAACTGCCCTACCCAACATTTAAAGCAGTGGGATTTTTTTTCTAAAAAAAGAGGAAAAGAAAAATCCAAGCTTAAAAATTTTGAAAATGTCACATAATTTAACAATCTGGATGCTGTACCTCTCTTCAATTGGCAAACCTGAATATATAGTCTTTACACCAATTTTAACACAGCCTTGGAAATTGCAGATGTGATTCACTTTTGGAAGGTGAAGGAATAAGGAGGACTATAGCTCTGATAATAGCCTGGAGAAATTTCCAGTTTCGGTCATCAACTTTTCCATGTAGGCAGGCTGGGAAAAGAATCTTATGCCCTGGAAGGACACTTATGTAAGCACTATTTCTCAATCTTTGCTACTTGCACATTTGTGGTCGTCAATTCTCAGAAATCCCCAGCCAGCACAGCCACTGCTGACAAGATCAAGGATTGTCGTTTGCAAATCTGGAAGTGACTAAGATTGGTGTGGACAGTGATGAGCTACTACACGAACCAGCAATCTCACACTGCGATCTGGTTTTTGCACATCCGGTCAGCCATAAGCAGCCTTGATTGATTGGTTTGGTTTTTGGTTCAGAGTGCTACATAAACTGGCTTTGTAAACCACTGTTGTGGTTTAATATGCTTAAATCCAGGCAAATATGTTTTCTTCTAATAATCATAGTTTAGAAGGTTCTACAAATGAAATTTTATATAGAGAGCTGTTGTTGTCCTGAACTGGGACTAAGATAAAGGACAGGAAAAACAAAATATTTTGGTCACACCTAAATAACCAATTAGCATGTTAAACATCAGAAGGGGAGGGGTTAGATTTGATAAAAGAAGGTGAGAGGTTGTGAAAATTTCAATATGTGAAATTTGAGCAAGAACACTTAATATCTGGCAATTTTTACATATTTTCTGTCCAGCTATATGTATTTAATTTTGGGGGTTCCATTTTTAAAAAAAATAAAATTTATTCAATTTTCAAAGGTTTTAAAAACATAAAATTACAGTTGTGTCAACATGAAGACATCATTTACATTTCCTTGTCTTATTTCTATACATACTTTCTTATTACATTACACTTACATATACTTTTCCCTATTCTAATTAGAAATTTATATCACATATTTTCATCATGAATTTCTATTTTCTCTACATTAAATATATAGTTTCCTATACTTTACTTAATTGCTACATTGATTTCTTTTTATTCTTAAGCCATGCATACCAGGCGTCCCAGACTATATAGTATGTCAATTTCTTTATCTTTTAGTTTTAGAATCAGCCTGTCCATCTCTGCACAGTCTAATATTTTCTTTATGACTGCTCCTTCTGATGGTATATTTCCATTTCCAAAATTGTGCATATGAGATCCTAACAGCAGTTAATATATGTAACACAATATGCCTATCTTTTTTACTGTATTTCCTTTGTTATACCTAATAAAAATAATTCTGGTTGAAGTTCAATCTTTTGTTTTATTATTTCTTTTAACCACAGTCGAATTGTATTCCAATATTTTTTTAACTTCTGGGCAGGTCCACCACATATAAAAATAAGTGCCCCTTTCTTTCTTACACTTCGAACAGTTTGAATTTTGATTCACATACATTTTTGTTAGTCTAGCGAGGGGTAGGTGCCATCTGTAAAACATTTTGTACGTTTTCTCTATATGCTGTAGATATAGTCAATTTATAATTTGTTCCCCCCATTCTTTCCCAATGTTCCAAATCTATATTGTATCCAACATTTTTCACCCATACTACCATTGTTTCCTTAACTACCACCTTTTCCATCTTAAAATCTAAAAGGAAACTGTATATTTTCGATATCTTTCTGTTCCTTGTAGGATTCCATCTAAATGTTGCTTGTCCAAATAAAATCCATATTCCTCTTTATCCTTCTTGTATCTTGCCTGTACTTTCATATATGGCCACCGGCCTATATCTATATTTTGTTGTTGTAACCAGGGGTGGGATTCAACCGGTGTTACTATTGGTTCGGTGACTAAGTTTTGCTGCATTCGCATGTAAAAAAACCTTAAGCTGTGCTGCCCAGACAGCTGAAAAGCACTGCGTGCGGATGCGCAGCATTTGAAAAAGCCTCTTTTTTCCTGCTTTTTCAACCTCAGCTGTGCCCCACAAAGCAGCTGAGGTTGAAAAAACAGGAAATAAAGGACAGGTAATAGCCCGGGCGGACGGGCCAAACAGCAGCAAACACAGAACTGGTTCGGTGTCTGCTGCTCTTCAGAGCTACCGGTTCTATAGGGCCGGGCAGAACCGATAGCATCCCACCCCTGGTTGTAACTCTTGTATAGTTTTTAATCTTCCTTGTTCATCTAATAAATCTTTGTAATTCCTTGTTTTCATCAAATCCACTCTGTTCAGATAAATTCCATGGTTGACAGCCAGCCTGGTATTTTAGCATAATGGTTCTTCTTAATTTTACTCCATATTTGAATTAATGTGTCTCTAATTAAATGTCTCTGGAAATAAGAATGTTGCTTGTTTTTTTCCATCCCATAAGAAACTATTCCACCCTCTTTGCAGATCATGGCCTTCTATTAACAATATTCTTTTACTTTTTCAGATTGATCCAGTCTTTAATCCGTAGCATAGCTAGTACCTGGTAGTACATTTCCCAATCTGGGAATCCAAAGCCACCCCTTTCTCTCCTATCCTGCAAGTTTCATTTTTATTTTAGCTTTTTTTTCATGCCCAGACAAAATTGGTTATTATTTTATCCTTTTTAAAAGAAAATAAACAGCAAACATTGGTCCAGAATCTATGGGATACCACAAAGGCATACATAAGAGGTTTAGCAATTGCATATACTGCATGTAGATGTAAAGAAAGAAAGAAAAACAAACCAAATTACAAAACACACTCACAGAAATAGAAAAAAATATTACAAAAGGAACCACAGAATAAAGCAGTAAATGAATGTATATTTTCTTTAATCTTAATAAATAAATGTGCACGTCAGTGTATAAACAAAATTATTGAAGTTTCATGACTTTCCCAATCAAAAGAGGTAGTAGTAGTAGCCACCTAGTATTGTATTTATTCAGAAAACAAATGCCTTGATATTTTTATTCATGTTACTCCTTCATATAGTCAACCACATTCTTATCTCATCCATAATGTTTTAGCCCAGACTCAACCTTACTACACTATATCACCAGTCACCAGTTTGAAATTGCTTGAAACATATGAACAATGAGGTTCTAATTCACACCACACTTTAAAATACCAAACAGAAGAAGAGCAAAAGCAATGATGTTCTTCTTTTAGTGATGGAAAACCCAGACCAGAATTCCCCCAGAATCCTCAACTTCTATGTGTCAATCAGTTGTTATTTTTTTCTGAAAGAGGCTTTTCATTCCTAACTCTGGAATCCCAATTCCTCTCTTCTGGTGGAACTGGAACCAAGGGGAATGTTGTCAGCGGCTTCTTCCAGAACAGATTTGGAAACTCCATGGATCTTCTTCCAAACTTTGTCCCGATGATCCTCCGTGAAGCAAGGCTCCAAGATGGCTGCCATTTGAGTGATTCTTCGGTGAAAGCGGCAGCGATCACGAGCCATTTCCTCCCATGGGCCCCGACGGGCAGCCCGAGACGCGTAATCCCAGACTACTAGTGGGTGGACAGTGACCACTGGGGAAAATTGGACCTAAGGATGAAGGAAAGAAGATGTGAGCTAATCAGGCTGATATTTCCAGGCGGGTGCTCGTTGCTATAAATCAAGTACAAAATTCTATTATATTATACCACACACTCTTTATCATATTTATTAGATTTTTATCTAGCCTGCACAAATTTTCTCTACAATGATAACCCAGTGAGGTGAGTTGGGCTGAGAGAGTGATTTGCCCAAAGTCATCCAGCCAGCTTTCATGCCTAAAGCAGAACTAGAACTCACAACCTCCTGGTTTCTAGCCAAGCACCTTAACCACCACACCAACTGACTTTAAATCGAATTTAGGTCTAAACTAATGTTTTTCTTGTGGTTTCTTCTTTCCTAGTTTCCTCTTCTCTTTTTTTCTTCTCCTACTTTTCTTCTTTTCTTCTTCTCCAGCAGATGGGCAGGGTTCTGCATCTCTCCATATTCACATGGTATGTTTGTTATCTGCCAAGAACTTCCCACTTGAGCATACTGGTTTTACATTTAGGCACTCCCAATTCGCAAACTTATTCAGGGTCCTCCAAGTAGTATAAAGAAAGTCGGATCCTTCAGGCATATTCTCCTTTAATGTTATTCCTTGCTTGATGGTCTCCTTCCATCTTTTAACTAGAATTTGTTCTTTATATTTATGTACATAGTTGTTGGATTGAGATTTGTGGAAACTCGAGTTCCAAACCACCTTTAATGGTCAAATTCACTAGGTGACTTTAGGCTAATCATTTCTCACCCCAACTATTTCACAGGACTGTTATAAGGATACAACAGAAAGCAAAAAATACTTTGTATGTCCCCTGATGCTTTATAAGAAAAGAGGGAAATAAAAAAAAGACATTTGTTCCTTTCGTTTTAGGTGGTTTCCCAACAGTTCTGGTCACTGTTTCTTCTCAGCCTTTTCATTTCATTTTAGCCCTGCTATAATCTGAGATTAGAACTATATTCCATTTTTCTTCTGGGCGCAGTGCAAATCAAATAATTTCACTCTCACAATAGACACATGAAATCTGGTGAGCTAAAAGGTAGCTACTGGCCTCCAACACCCAGGAATCCCCACAGGGTTCACTACCATAATTCACGATCAACACCCAAGTTAATCCCTTACCATGTCAGTAATATAAGGGTGGTTGAACTTGAATGTCTTTTTAACTTTTGCCTTAATAAAAGCGAGGCTATTTCCCACTCACAATCTCCACCTTTCAAAAATTATTTAAAAACAGAGGGCCAGTCCAAGTTCAAATAAAATTGTCGGGCTTGTGTGCTTGCTATTTTTCATGCTCTTCTTCAAGGGTTTGTGCATTTAGATTAATGCAGTTAAATAAGGACAGAATTTGTGTCTGTGGACTTGTGCAGAAGTGCTAAGTAAGGCAAAAACGAAGTAGAAAACAAAGCCAGGAACCTTCATTTTTTATTTATAATAGGCAATCTCTTAAAGAGAGGCAGGGAAATGAGTCTGCTCGACTGGGAAATGTCCTAATCTTACATCATATATTTTCTTTGTAACAGACTTGTGATTCATAGTCAGGGACAATTAAACAAAAAAGATAACCTCCATTTCTTCCCAGTTCAGGCACTAATCTGGTGATTGTAAATTAATCATGTCACATTACATGAATCTTTTTCCTATTTGCTTTTCCACAGAAGTGCACTCAATTGGAGCTGAATTGCCTGAAATTACTGAATGGGAATGGCATTTTGTGAATGATAAAACACTTTACCTTTGCTTCCTAAGACATTCAGCCCTTTATTCTTCAACATGTTCTTTGAAGAGAGTCCTCCAACAGTCTAATCCTAACACCTCTTCAATAAAATATTTTTGCCTCTGGCTGATAAAATACACAATACTTTCATGACTACTGTACAGGGAGTCCTCCACTTACAACAATTCATTTAGTGATCGTTCAAAGTTACAACAGCACTGAAAAAAAGTGACTTATGACCGTTTTTCAAACTTACAACTGTTGCAGCATCCTCATGAACACGTGATCAAAGTTCAGATGCTTGACAACTGATTCATATTTATGACTGATGCCTTGTCCCAAGGTCATGGGATCCTCTTTTGCGACCTTCTCACAAGCAAAGTCAGTGGGGAAGCCGGATTCCTTAATAACCATGTTACTAACCTAACAGCTGCAGTGATTCACTTAACAAATGTGGCAAGAAAAGTCATAAAATGGGGCTACACTTAATTAACAAATGTCTCACCTAGCAATGGAAATTTTGGCCTCAATTGTGGTCGTAAGTCGAGGAGTACCTATATTTATTTCCAATAAAATGGACCATACAGCCTGGGACCTGGTTTATTTGAGAGGCTATCTGTAGCCTATAGGACAGGGGTCTCCAACCTTGGCAACTTTAAGACTTGTGGACTTCAACTCCTCAGCCAGCAAAGCAAAGCTGGCTGAGGAATTCTGTAAGCTGAAGTCCACAAGTCTTAAAGTTGCCAAGTTTGGAGACCCCTGTCCTATAGTATCTTTCTGGCTGATCTGGTCTGACAGGGTTCCTGTGCTCCAGGTTGTCTGATGAGACCCCAGTAGCATGCCTTCTCTATCTAATCGTTCTCTATAATGAGGTTTGCCCCAAGATCCAAGTGGCCCCCACCCAACTGGTGTTTCGATGGACCCAAAAAAACTGACTTTTCACCCAGACTTTGGGCAACTAGGATTAAAAAAAACCCTTTTTCTTCCTTTTCTTTGTTCCCATCTGGGTTAGTTATTTTTGCTATTTTGACTCTTTTTTTTTTAGTTTTATGTTGTTTGCTTGTTTTGTTTTTTCACATTTTGTAAACCACCCAAGATAACCAAGAGTCAGTCAGCATATTACATAAATAAATGGAGCAAAAATCCCCACTTTTAACCTCTGCAAGAAATCCAACTGATGCAACTTTAGCCACTACTGTACTGCTTCAAAAACAATAGCTCAACACCACTGTGTATCATCTCTATTCTTCATCATCATCATGGTGAAAATAGTTTAAAAAAGCACAAACATTTTCTCAAACATAATCATGTGGGCAAGTCTAAATTTCAATCAGTCATGGCCAAGAGCAGAAATACAAGTGTTCATGGCTCCTAATTAAGGAGCCACAAAAAACAAAAAAAAATAAAACAAAGGTGGATTTAGAAAATCCTCATTCCAAACACATTCAGAAAGCACACATAAGTATTTTAGGATTCTCACCTTCTTTTTCACTTGGATTTCCTGCTGTGAAACGATTTCTTCAGGGAGAGAAGTGTTTTTCCTGGCACTTGGTTGGCAGCATAGGTAGGTCTCTTGATTTCTTTCAACTTTTTGGTCTTCTTTGGGCAATGGCTGCTTTGGTAGATTACATGATTCTTCAAGTTTAGAACTGGTTTGTGTCCGATGAGAAAAGACAATAGTTTCTTGATGGTTCTTGGGCTTCAGTGAAGCAAAGTCTGTGAGGTCCTGAACGGGTTTGGAAAAGCAACGTGGGTGGAAGGGATCACTGTTCATGGATAGAACTCCACAGAGATTCTCAAAAACAATCTGCTGTACAGAGTCCTCCTCTTCTACTTCCTGATAATTTTCTATGTCTCCTGAATTATTGCCATCAGAGCAAGTTTGGGTCTTACTACTCTCTTCCATCCCATCCTCACTCCACCAGTCTTCTGAACTGTCATCATTGTCATCTTCTTCATCTTCTACTGGACTGTAGAATAAGGAAAGTACCAGGGAACTTTGGAAGCTATTGGGGTCCGTAGAAGATTCCATGTTGAATGTATCTTCATTCTTTCCATTCTTTTGCTTCATTTCTGGCTGTTCCTCATCAGTTGAAGAACCAAGTGAACATATTAAGTTTTGTTTTCCACATATCAGAGGATCTTGGTTAGATTTAGTGTTCTTCTCCAGTTCCTGGGGAACTATGGTGGTTTCCAAAATTTGATCAAGGCACTTATTAAAATTTAATTGTCCAATAGGATTTAAGCAGTTTGAAGTATTTTTCAAACACCCAGAGAGGTCCAACTCTTCTTCAAAGATTTCAGGATTGTAAGTATCTTCCAACAACTTTGGGGAGTCATGCTCAGAACTTTTTATAGTCACACATTCTATGTCCTTTCCTGAAGAAGCTTGCCAATTATTTATCAGATCAAATACTATCGTAGGACTTATTAAACACAGCTCAGAAATCCCTTCCTCTTCCAAATGTATGTTATTCACTGTAATGCTGCTTGAATGAATCAAAACTTGTTCAATGTCTTCCCCAAGAGAGTCATCTATAACCAAGCTTCCCTCCAAAAGATAGTTTATATAACTCTTCAAAGAATGATGTTCTTGACAGTTGTCTTCCTCCATCATCTTCTCAGTATAGTTTTCATTTCTTTTAAGTTCTCTGGCCTTCTTTAAGTATTTCATCTTCTCTAAGATGGGCAATGCCCTTCTGGCAATGCCCATCAACACAGCCTTTACCAGGTTTGTAAGGAAAGGTTTCCAAAAGTATAAAAATCTTCGCAACCAGACCATAATGAGCTTGAACATATGTCGAAGAACTGGAAATGTGCCAGCAGGGGTGGAGCTGACTGGTACAGGAGGTGGGAGTTTCGCCATTCCAGGTCCAAAGGGATAGCAACTATTGACAAGAATGTTTGGGGGTTTAAAGGGTGAGGTGAACGGGCTGGCCACAGTACACGGAGGCATTTTAAATCTGAAAAGAAGCAATCAATGATGGAATTTAGAGTAAGAATATGCAAGTTGAAACTCAAGATTCTTGAACTGTAATAAACTACAAGTCCTTGACTTATGACTGTAGTGAGGCCAACATTTCTGTGGCTGAACAAGACAGTTAAATGAGTTGTGCCCCATTTTACCATTATTTTTGCCCCAGTTAAGAATTGCTGTAGTTGTTAAGTGAATCAAATTGGCTGTTAAGTGAATATGACTTTCAACATTGACTTTGCTTGTCGGAGACCAGCTGGAAAGGTTACAGATGACCCCCAGAATAGAACAGAATATTTATTGACCAACTGTGATTGGACACACAAGGACTTTGTCTTGATGCAAATGCTCTCAGTGTACATAAAAGATACATTTGTCAAGTCAAGAATCATCAGGTACAACACTTAATGATAGTCATAGGGTACAATAAGCCATCAAATCATAGCATAACTATCATATATACATGCCAGTTGCCAAGCCCCCAAATTTTGATTATGTGACCACAAGGATGCTGCAAGTCATAAAGGTGAAACGCAGTCATAAATCACTTTTTACAGTAACGTTGTAACTTCAAGTGGTCACTAAATGAATGGTTGAGGACTACCTGTATTTTACATGAGGTTACATCAGTACATCGTCTAGCACTGTCCTTTGTCTCATACGGAGCTCTTTCCCATCCTCTGCTATCTAAACCTTTTTTTAACAATATAGCTATTTAGGATTGAACTCCACTATTCACGTATAGTTCTACTAAGCATTTTACTATAATAGTTTATTTTTATGCAGGAAACCATGACAACTTTAAGATGTGTGGATTTTAAGCATGGCTGGCTGAGGAATTCTGGGCGTTGAAGTCCACACATCTTTAAAGTTGCTATGGTTGTACTACACACACACACACACACACACACACGCTAAACTATCAAACACTTTAGTAGTATTTTTTATTTTTATGCAGGAAACAATAAAAATGAGAAGAATGAAGCAATTTAAAAAAACATGGAAATACCAATTAAGATAAGTAATAAATATACTAGTCTGTTAAAAAATACACATTTTCTAAAGATTTTATGCAAACCTAGTAAGCAAAGGGGTCATGCTGTGATTGAAAATCAAGTCACAAGTAACTCACCTTATAAGCATTCATTTAATGATAGGCTTTGAAAAAGTGACTCATGATCTGTTGTCACAGTTATGACTGTCATACCATCTCTGTGACTGCAAGCATGGACCTTAGTAACCAAGTCACATTTACAACCTGTTGCAGCAGTCTGGCAGATGATTGCAATTTGTGACTTTTTTTTTTTTGCTAATTTCTGGCAAAAAATACCAAAAACTGAGGACTATATTTAATTCTAGATATTTTGATCTATAACTCCCAGCACCCTTCAGCTGTAGCCAAGATTTCTGGACATTGCTATACAAGAACATCTGAAAAACTACAGGTTTTCCACCATCTTTCTTAAACTATTCTGGTTAAAACATTTTAAGAAAAAAAAAAACCTGGCATTCTGGCACGAATTTTTAATATGATAAAAAATGCATGATATTCTTTTACTGCAAAGTCTGCAAGAATATTTATTTATTCAGAGGGAAAACAATGCTTGCTTTATACTAAGTCATGCTTCTGGTATCAGATTCAAAAGCTGAACAACAAAGCCAGAGTAACAGAGTTGGAAGAGACCCTGGAGATCTTGTAGTCCAACTCAGGAAGGAAACCCTATATCATTTCAGACAAATGGTTGTACAATCTCTTGTTTAAAAACCTCCAATAAAGCCTGAAAGAGAACAGGTTCTGGCATTTGGAAAATCACAACTCCAGCATTCTTTGGAAAATCAAAGTGGAACAATTCCCTTCCAGGGCATCCTTGTTCCTTTGCTAATCCACTTTTTTTCAGCAAAGGCCAAACTCAGAATAAGCTTTCAGGAACAAGAGCTGGCAAGTGAAGGCATGGAGGAAGGAAAAGGCTGGAAGACCACATTCTTGCCTTGCTCCCAAATTCCAGCACAATTCCTTCTGCCCCCTACCTGTAGGGCAGTTCACCTCCCAGCTTTCTTAGGGAAGGTTTCACCAGTTGAGGTGTGTAGGCTGAATTCAGGGTGCGCCCCAGACAAGTTGAAGCAAGTGCCCCTGGAACGCTGGCAACACCCCAGTCCGGAAGAAGAAAGGGGGGGAACGCGCGCACACATACACACACAGAGTTCAGATGCTGAGCGTGAAGCTGCCGAGGAGAGAGGAGGAGATACAACCCTTCCGACCCACAACAGGTTAGATCTGGAAGTGGGAAGAGGAGGGGGGGGGAGGGAATATATTCACAAAGGGAATCATCAATGTATGAGAAGCGACACGCATTACAAAAGAGCAGAAAAGTTTGTAAATGATTGTGGACTGGAATTCTTCTTGATGGTTGATTTGAATGATCAGAAGTTATCTGTGCAAACAGCTTGGGTTCTCTAGGACAAGAAGTGGGAAGATCCTCATGGAATGTAGAGGCATATTATGGAAAGAGGGAAGAGAATTGCAAGGTGGCTTTTCCTGAGGATATCTGGTTCCTTCTGAAAGAAGAGAGTAATGAGAGTTTCCTAAGAAGTATTTGGTGGACCACAAGCAGTAGCACTGGAAGGCCAGCAAGGGGGTGGTGATGAAATTGGAAGCTGAGCCAGGAAGAGGAGGCGGACTACTTTGAGGGTCCGTGACAGAGAAAGGGGAGGGAAGGGAGAAAGAGACTCAAGAGCAGGACTCCCCAAACTTGGCAGCTTTAAGACTTGTGGACTTCAAGCTATGCTGGCTGGAGAATTCTGGGAGCTGAAGTCCACAAGTCTTAAAGTTGCCAAGTTTGGAGACCTCTGCTCAAGAGTCCATAAAAATCCCTACTCTATAGCAAAAACAAAACAAAACAAAAACAACTTGGAATATTCTTTGGATGAAGAGTCTTAACTAACCATTCTGGAGGGCACCAGGTTGAAGAAGCCACCCTAGACTTTGGAGAACCACAGAAAAAAAAACTTGAAAGATTAACCTTGAGGGACGCACAAGTCAGAGAAGAGAATGACATAGCAATTATATTTTGAAGGATCAGAGCAAAAGCGACAGCACTTTACAGTTGGGGGTTGGGAGGGCAGGAGAAGCAAAAGCCAAGAACATCTAGGGCTTTGGGCCGGGGTCCAGAACCGAGGAAAGGAGACCCACCACGCTTGTGCCAACGGAGGAAAAAAACAGTTCCAAGAACCGCACGAAGCGAGAGGGAAGATTACCAACAATTAAAAAGGGTGGGTCGTTTGGGTGGATGCCTGGGAAGGCAACCGAGAGGGCGGAGGTGGCAAGGCTATCATAATGCTAAACCGGGACACCTGGCCCGAGTTCGGAGAACCAGGGCTTTTCTGAAAACAGGCGTTTCCTCCGGGAAGTGCCTTAAGCACGTGAGAAACAGAACACACGGGGAGGCGGGGAGCCAGCTTGGAAACACGCATTTGCCGGGTATAAGCAGGAGAGCGACCGGGTGAGCCGGCCTCCTAATAGGCCAAGAGGTCCAGGAGACTAAGAGGCCAATACCTTAGGGGGCAGCATTTTGGGGTCTCCCACCCCTCCCGCCCCAGGGGAAGGAAAAGGTCTAATAATTTTTAACCCTCTTACCTCTGGATTTTTAGCCAGCAACAAACTCGCTCCAACATGTATCCGCAGGATAAACGCGAACAAGCGGCCGCATGGTAGGCTTTGCAGAACAGCAGCTCTTCTCTGTACGAACCATTTCGCCCTATCGAGAATGACCTTTGCTTTTTCTGTGCAGATTAGAATAGAATGTTTCAGAGGAAAGCGAAACCCGCAAGCACTTTATATAGACTCATTCCGCAAGGATAACGTCACCGCACTGTGACGTTAGGGCAGGGGGCGTGGCCAGAGCCGCAGAAGGAGAAAGACGTGAGGGCTCTGCAAGGGGAGGGGCGCGCGAAGGAAGCGGTGACGTCAGGAAAATGTTTGTGTGTTTGACGGCGGGGTGGGGGCGGGGGTAAGAGGGGCGGAAGGGTGAGGAGTTGGAAGTTTCCTGAACGCTTTCTATTTTCGTTTCTCGAATTTAAAATACGTTACTTGGAAAAACTCACTTTATTTTAAAATCAGCCACCGCCATTAAGAGAATAATGTTGAGAGACTCTAAGGCAGGGGTCTTTAAACTTGACAGCTTTAAGACTTGTGGACTTCAACTCCCAAAATTCCTCCTCCAGTCATGTTAGCTCAGGAATTCTGGAAGTTGGTCCACAAGTCTTAAACTTGCCAAGTTTGAAGACCCTTGGGCTAGGGAGATTCTCAGTCATCCTACTGCGCTACTACTATTAGTCTTGTCATCACTTCTTATCACCCCTTCCCTCCCACTTATGACTATATGTTGCTTGTATCCTTATGATTTTTATTGACTGTTTCCTAGTATGATTTGATTGCTTATTGTACTCTATGACTATCATTAACTGTTGTAATGTACCTGATGATTCTTGACTCTTGGTGTATGTATCTTTTCTTTTATGTACACTGAGAGCATTTGCACCAAGACAAATTCCTTGTATGTCCAATCACACTTGGCCAATGAAGAATTCTATTCTGTTGTATCCAGGTCCCAAAGGTGCTTTTTCAAGAGGCAACTAGACTTTCTTGGTTTCCTTTGAAGACAGCTTCTTGGATGAGTAGTGAAATGTCTTCAAAGAAAGCCAAGAAAGTCCAGTTGCCTCTTGAAAAAGCACCTTTGGATCAATATTATTTAGACTTTGGATAAAGTGCAAAGAAGAGCAACTAAGATGATTAAAGGCCTGGAGACTAAAACATAGGAAGAATGGTTGCAAGAATTGGGTAGTCTAGAAAAAAGAAAGATTAGGGGGGACATGATAACAGTATTCCAGTAATCGAGGGGCTGCCACAAAGAGGAGGGGTGAACTTATTTTCTAAAGCACAAGAAGCAATGGATGGAAACTAATCAAGGGAAGAAGCAATCTGAAATTAAGGAGAAACTTCCTAACAGTGAGGACAATCAACCAATAGAAAAGTTTGCCTTCAGAAGTTGTAGGCGCTTCATCTCTGGAGGTTGTTAAGATTAAACAGACACCTGTCTGAAATGGTCTCCTGCTTGAGTAGGGGGTTGGACTAGAAGACCTCCAAAGTCCCTTTCAGTTCTAGTCTACTATTATTATAACTCATATTAAATTGGATTTCTTGTTTGCGGAGGGAAGAGCTGCAGCTAACAAGGAGTTTGGGGTCTGAAAAATATAAAGATTATTTCATCATCTCTGTGTGGAGTTATTTACCAACATTTTGTCCTGCCTTTTTTTCAACAACTCACAATAGCTGCTCCTGGACAGGTATTCCTTCACTTACAACAGTTCATTTAGTGACCCTTCAAAATTACAACGGCACTGAAAAAAGGGACATGACCATTTTTCACATGGCCATTGTAGCATCCCCGGGGTCACATGATCAAAATTAAGATAATTGGCAACTGACTCATATTTATGACAGTTGCAGTGTCCTGAGGTCATATCATCACGTTTTGATACCTTGTTACAAGCAAAGTCAATGGGGAAGCCAGATGCATATAACAATCACATTACTAACTTAACAACTGCAATGATTCACTTAACAATTGTGGCAGGAAAGGACATAAAATGGGGCAAAATGTACTTAACAAATGTTTCACATAGCAGCAGCAGCAGCAGAAATTTTGCTCAAATGCGGTCGTAAATCGAGGACTACCTATACTGTAATTCTTTCCTGCTTCCGCCTTTAATCAGGAGGCTACAGTAGGCAAATGGACAATGGGCATTTATGAAAGAATGCAATTCTTTTGCTGTTTTTTAACTTGATGTTGTATCAAAATAGCAGTAAACAGGGAGTCAAAAGGACTACAACTAGAACTACAAATAGAAAAGTCTATAACCTGGTCTTCCTACCTTTGATATGGCCACAGATATTTTACATGGGACAAAAAACACCTTTGTCCTGTTCAAATGCACACAAATCTACAATAAGAATAGAAGCAAAGTAAAGAAAAAACTTTTATTAACCTTTTTTTTTCAAAGTTCTTTCCCATTTGGTAAGCAAGACAGGAAATAAAGGGTATTTTGGAGGAGAGAGATAAATTTTATACATACTATGCCACCATAGCAACTTTAATATGTGTGAATTTTAAGCATGGCTGGCTAAGGAATTCTGGGAGTTGAAGTCCACATATCTTAAAGTTGCCATGGTTGTATTATGCATACACAAACGCAATCATAAATACACACACACACACACACAAACACTAATCTTCATGTTGTAATGAAGTGCAACAAGAAAAGGACACGAGGAGTTCATAAGGTTTTCTTGCATAATAGACTCTGACTACATTTATTTCTAAAATAGAAAGTATGGCTGCTCAGCTTTAAAACTTATTGTTAACAACCTTTGAGCAGTTCACTACTACTGTGCTACTGTATCCTTGATATTAAATGTCACCTCTTCTAGAAATGCATCATTTTACATTCTTCTGGTTTACCTCTGCAAAACAAGCCAAATTCACAGTCTATGTATCAGTCTTCTCCAACTTATGAATGAAGGCAAATATACTGTACATGTCCCAGGCAGAGGTGGGATTCTACAGCTTCGCACCTATTCACTAGAACCGGTTGTTAACATTCTAAGCAGTTCGGAGAACCGGTTGTTAGAAGAAATTACTGGCCTAATCCTGTAAGGAAGGCAGGAAGGAAACATTCTGGTGTTGCTTACAGAAACTGCCTCTCCGTTAACCCTTATTACATTCTTGGCAAGACTAGACTTCCTGTCTCTGGAACTTCTCTGGAGTTTTTTTTCCTTCCTTTGCTGGTACTTTGCTTGTGTGGAGTGACCATTCAAAGTTACAATGGTACTGAAAAAGGTGACTTATGACCATTTTTCACACTTACGACTATTGTAGCATCCCCACAGTCACGAGAGGCCAGGCGAGGAGATGCGTGCCTCGACGTGAGTGATGTTGAGTTGGCCACGCCCAGATAGTCACATGACCACCAAGCCATGCCCACCAACTAAGCCATGCCCGCTTGTTAAAAAAATTGAATCCCACCCTTGGTCCCAGGATAATGTTGCAAGATCCAAACTGGACTAGTCACCAGGACCCAGGCTTTATTTTCCAAACTTTTGGACTTGTGCTGGAGCCCATCCTCAGGAAACCTCTCTCTCAACTCAGTGACATTCTCGTGAGAGAGTTCTCTGAGAGTGTGCTCCAGCATGAGTATCAAAGCTCAGAAGAGTAAACCTGTGGTCTAAATTGTCTCTTTCTCCACGTAGTTTTTTAGAAATATATTGAACATCAATTTCTATCAACTCCAGGTGGCCAGAGATGATGAAGGTTGATGGCCAGCAGATGTGGAAATGAGGATAAAGAGATATAATTAAAATTAAATGTGGAACCATTAGTATATTCATGTATGAACCTGACAGGAAAACTGTCTATATCATGGGTGTCAAATTTGCCATATCACGTTGCTGTCACGTGATGTATTGTGACGTTTTCATATTGTGACGTTTTCCCCCTTCGCGGAGCTGAGGTGGGCGTGGCCTGCACGTGACGCATCCAGCCTGCGGACCACCAGTTTGACACCCTTGGACTCTATATTATAGAGGGGAAATGTTATGAAGATGGAACCAGGGGTGGGATTCTACCAGTTCGCACCTATTCGCTAGAACCGGTTAACATTCTAAGCAGTTTGGAGAACCGGTTGTTAGAAGAAATTACTGGCCTAATCCTGTAAGGAAGGCAGGAAGGAAACATTCTGGTGTTGCTTGCAGAAACTGCCTCTCCATGAACCCTTATTACATTCTTGGCAGGACTAGACTTCCTGTCTCAGGAATGTCTTTGGAGTTTTTCCCCCCTCCTTTGCTGGTACTTTGCTTGTGTGGAGTGACCATTTAAAGTTACAATGGCACTGAAAAAAGTGACTTATGACCATTTTTCACACTTCGATTTATGACCACAACTGAGCCCAACATTTGATGAACAAGCAGGTGTTAAATGAGTTTATTTTGCAGTGGTGGGATTCAATTTTTTTTACTACCGGTTCTGTGGGTGTGGCTTGGTGGGTGTGGCAGGGGAAGGTTACTGCAAAATCCCCATTCCCTCCCCATCCCACTGACCTGCTTTCCAGCTCCATTCTCCTGTGCAGGGCAACAAAAGAAGACCCAGATGATCAGCTGGGACCCAGGAGGCAGAGAATAGATGGGGGCGGGGCCAGTCAGAGGTGGTATTTGTGGGTTCTCTGAACTACTCAAAATTTCCGCTACCGGTTCTCCAGAACTGGCCAGAACCTGCTGAATACCACCTCTGTTCTTTTGCCTCATTTTATGACTTTTTTTTTTTTTTGCCACAGTTGTTAAGCCACTCACTGCACTTGTTAAGTGAATCATGTGGTTGTGAATCTGCCTTCCCCAATTGACTTTGCTTGCTTTTATCAAGATCCCAGCAGCAATGTAAACTTATGGACATAAAGTACAGATAGTCCTTGACTTACAACGGTTCATTTAGTGACTGCTTGATGTTACAATGGCAGTGAAAAAAGGGACTTATGATTGTTTTTCACACTTACAACCTTTGCAGCATCCCCATGGTTTGATCCCCATGATCAAAATTCAGGCACTTGGCGACTGACTCACATTTATGACAGTTGAAGTTTCCCAGAGTCACATGATCCCCTTTTGCAACTTGCTGACAAGTAAAGTCAAGGGGAAGCTAGTTCACTTAACAACCATGTTACTAACTGAACAACTGTAGTAATTCACTTAACAACTGTGGCAAAGAAGGTCATAAAATGGGGCAAAGTTCACTTAACAAAT